GTGGCAGAAGAGCGAAAGAGGAAAAAGGAAAAAACTAGACGATGCTGGATACATACCTCCAGTAAAAAGAGCTCCGATTGTAGGATAAAGTGTATGACCCTAGTATCGCAGTTGTAAGCATGAAATCTTTTAGCGCTATTCTGTTCCAATGTCACTTGAAACTCCTAAATATTTTTCAAACATAGCACATTTAACATGAGTAATACATTTCTACCTTAATGAACTATTTTTTAATATTTAACTGTTAACTTATATTCACTAATTTTTCAACCATAAACCATTGTTTGTTTGTATTTTGTTTTCTACTCGTAATTCATTTCCTATATAGAAAATATGAATTCAGCCATAATAATTAATTTCACAGTTAAGGCGTAGTAACATGGGTTACATAAGCGCCATCTGACATGCCTCAAAACTTATATCCTACAGTCTGACTACAAGGCTTTTATTTGAGCCATTGGAAAAAAACTTTTTATCACTAGTATCTCACACTGTGTCGGGGCCTTTAGTGAAAGGTAATATGTCCTGTAGATGTAAATTGAACGGTTTAACATACCTAGGCTTGGGCAATATACAAAACTTAATAACTCGATATAGTCCAGCCCAAATATTGCGATAATGGAAGTGTTAATAGTTTATTTTCATCAATTAACAAAATGCAGTGAATGAACAGAAGAGAAATCTAAATCAAATCAATATTTGGTGTAACTACCCTTTGCCTTCAAAACAGCATCAATTCTTCTAGGTATACTTGCACACAGTTTTTGAAGGAACTCGGCTTATAGGTTGTTCCAAACATCTTGGAGAACTAACCACAGATCTTCTGTGGATGTAGGCTTCCTCAAATACTTCTGTCTCTTCAGTAATCCCAGACAGACTCGATAATGTTGAGATCAGGGCTCTGTGGGGGCCATACCATCACTTCCAGGACTTCTTGATCTTCTTTACACTGAAGTTAGTTCTTAATGACATTGGCTGTGTGTTTGGGGTTCTTGTCCTGCTGCAGAATAAATTTGGGGCCAATCATACGCCTCCCTGATGGTATTGCATGATGGATAAGTATCTGCCTGTATTTCTCAGCATTGACGACACCATTAATCCTGACCAAATCTCCAACTCCATTTGCAGAAATGCAGCCCCAACTTGCAAGGAACCTCCACCATGCTTTACTGTTGCCTGCAGACACTCATTATTGTACCGCTCTCCAGCCCTTCGGTGAACAAACTGCCTTCTGCTGCAGCCAAATATTTCAAATTTTGATTTATCAGCCCAGAGCACCTGCTGCCATTTTTCTGCACCCCAGTTCCTATGTTTTCGTGCATAGTTGAGTCGGTTGGCCTTGTTTCCATGTTGAGGTATGGCTTTTTGGCTGCAACTCTTCCATGAAGACCACTTCTGGCCAGACTTCTCCGGACAGTAGATGGGTGTACCTGGGTCCCACTGGTTTCTGCCAGTTCTGAGCTGATGGCACTGCTGGACACCTTCCGATTTCGAAGGGAAATAAGCTTGATGTGTTTTTCATCTGCTGCACTAAGTTTCCTTGGCCAACCACTGCGTCTACGATCCTCAACGTTGCCCATTTCTTTGTGCTTCTTGGAAAGAGCTTGAACAGCACATCTTGAAACCCCAGTCTGCTTTGAAATCTTTGTCTGGGAGAGACCTTGCTGATGCAGTAATACTACCTTGTGTCTTGTTGCTGTGCTCGGTCTTGCCAAGGTGTATGACCTGTGACATGAAACTGTCTTCCACAACCTCGCCTTGGTAGCAGAGTTTGGCTGTTCCTCACCCAGTTTTAAGCCACTGACACAGCTATTTCTGTTTCAGTTAATGACTGTTTCACCCTACATGTGAAATTGATGATCATTAGCACCTGTTTGGTATAATTGGTTGGTCATACACCTGACAATAATCCTACAAAATCCCTGACTTTGTGCAAGTGTATCTATGCTGGTTTGAAGGCAAAGGGTAGTAACACCAAATATTGATGTGATTTAGATTTTTCTTTCGTTCACTCACTTTGCATTTTGTAAATTGATAAAATTATTATTTATATTTTTGAAAGCATTCTTAGTTTACAGCATTTTTTCACAACTGCCTAAAACTTTTGCACAGTACTGTATATATACTGTGTATATATATATCTATATATAGATATATATATACATATATTATATGTATATATTATATTATATATTATATATTATTATATATTATTATTTGATACTATCGAAGCCTAAACGTATCACACCTTTTATAGACACAGCTGATAATTAATCCGTGTCCTGAAATCAGCAGATGTTTGCTCGCTGTTTCATTTTCAGTGTTGATTTGATTTTATGTGTGGTGTGTATCATGCATCATATACATCATATCAGCATCAAATGTTTTTTAAAAGTCAGCTCACATGCACTATATCATCATCACCATTGTCATCTAGTATTAGCTGATTCTGAGACAATATGACTATGACTGTTTTTGTACAGCAATTATATTTCACTCTATCACTGCTGACCCTTGACAAAATGAGGCTACGTCCACACTTTTTCTACTTTTAATTCTGCCATCCACACTACTCTGGAGTTTGGGAGCCGCTGATACAGAGAGTTTTGGAAACTCTGCTGGTTATTTAGAAAACTCTGGGGTTTTGTTGTAGTCTGGACGGACAGAAACAGAGACCTTTGGAAACAATGACGTAGACACCCCCAGCTAATAGTCTAATCAGCTTCGACCACCAGTGGTGAAAGCTACATGAATATCAAATTACAAGTGTTACTGACCTTGTTGTTTTTTGCTTGCAGCTGTTGAGTTAGAGGAGTTAAATCTGTGGAGTTAAATTCTTCATGTTAATACTACAACTGCCTTTGCTGTTCCTTGTTTGTTGTATCAGCAGAATAGACAATTTGCTTCCTGTTTACACTGGCTCACGCATGCCCAGCCTATGTGAATGGTGCCACATGTGTCAGTGCATGCATGAACGAGACACTGTAGGTCTAAACTAGTGTTGGTCAACAGAATAAAAATGTCATGTATTAATAAACTCCAGTTTTTATAAAATCGTCTATGGTATGACTGAAAATCAAAGAAAAAGGAGTCGTAGTCCAGTTTTGTTCTGAGACACTGTCCACATATGGGACAGCAGTGTTTATTGTTTGTTACTGTTTTGGTCTGGTGTTTCCTGTTGACCTAGTTTTGGTTTTAACAAAGGACCAATATAAGCAACCACAGTTTTTGAACGCCTGTCGGATGTGCCTCTGTCTCTGGGTGCAGGCTCTGTGCCCATCATCTTCTCTGCGTGGTGGCGTGATGTTTGGATGATGATTCAATGCTGACATGGATGATGAGAATCAAACTGGATGTAGTCTGCGTAGACCACATAATCATAAAGGTCTCGCCCTTAACAAGAAGTGAAAGAACCATTCAGACCAATAGAGAAAAAGCCTCAGTGAAAAGTTTTTATTGACATTCAGCTCATGTAAAGTGAAGAGCGCTAAATGGTTCAAAGATCAGCAGTTAACTGTCCAAGATATAAAAAGGTCACCAAAAGTGACAAGTTGACCAGTAACAAATATTTGAAACCAATATGCCAACCCAAAGCTACTTCTGTATAAGGACACTCACCAATGCGTCCAGGTGTTTCTATTCATTCAGTGAATGTAGGTAAATAACAGAAACGCCTCTGTATACTGTAACACAGCTCCACACACTATGTCCTCCACAATGATCATCAACAACTGTCTAAAACTATTTTATTACAAATTGAAGATTATAATCTTCATGAAGACGGATTAACTGCACGACTGTTTTATTGAACTACATGAGTTTTATCTACATGTTCCTAATAAACTGACAACTGAGTGTATATTAGTAATTATCAGTTGTATGTACAGACTGCAAAGAGCCTGACTGCAATTAATTGGTTGATTTCAGTGCTGTTCTCACCTGTGGACTGATTCACCTGGTAACCTAAAGATATTCTTTAATTTAATAGTATTATCATATATTACTATTATCAACAAATAAGATGTTTTACCCTTCCCCCTTTTAAAATGTAATACGCTTACTCAGAGACAGTTTAACTGAATCACTTTGTACTTTTATCTGAGAACATTTTTACACAGGGATTTTATTTTTTTTCTGCTGTAGTAAAATGTCTTTTCAGTAACAGCAGTCAGTGGCCATTCACGTGGTGACGTGCTGCAGTCAGTGTCTGCATTATCAGTCAGGCCGATAATCGGTCAATCCCTACCCAGAAACACTGAGACGTTAAATTTGAGGAAGAAAATACACATCCTTTAGTATAGACTGGCTAGCACCTAGAAACAACCCTACAACCCCACTGAGTTAACTCCTTGATCCTTGATCAAGGAGATACCACCTTCCTTGTTATTCTCCACCACCGTCTGTCTTCCCCTTACATCACCAACACTTCATTGTCTTAACAACATCTTACTAAGCAACATCTTACCTGTAAGTTAATTCAGTCTAGGGGCCCTGCCTGCCCTATCCATAGATATGCTGATCCAACCCCCTACCCCCTACCCCCGATAACGTGAACCAAGGTGCTACACTACTCTTGATAAACATTATCTTTTGTTATAAACTTCCTTTCCTGTCTGACCAAATGTCTGTAACCCCAGGTATATGCAAATACAGTGTCCATTCCTTTGTCTTTCTCTGTATAACTGGGCCCCTGCCCTACACTCGGGGTCAGTCTACTGCCTCAGACCCGCTCTGTGTCAGTTGGCTCACCGTATCCTGGGATACCATTAAACTTACTTCCGTACAGCAAACTTCAAACTAAGGACTTGAGTGAATTTTCTTCAACAAATTACATGACGTTAACCAATAGCTGGAAGAATTGAGGTCTTCATTGACCTGGTACGGTGGTAACTACTTCAGTTGTAAGCTGTAATTTTTGCTGTTTAACAATATGCACCCAATATGCAGCTTCGTAAAAAGCAACCATCTTATGCACTGTATCTGCCTGTGTCGTCATCCAGGAGCGTAATGCAGAAAACGCCATCGAGGCTCTGAAGGAGTACGAGCCAGAGATGGGCAAGGTGTACCGCCAGGACAAGAAGAGTGTCCAGAGAGTCAGAGCCCGAGACATTGTTCCTGGAGACATCGTGGAAGTTGCTGGTAAGAAGACAAATACCACCACAAGAAGCATCATCATCCACATCACACACGCAGTAGTTGATGACAAAATCAGGGGGTCACTCTGATCCTGAGACAGTGCAATGTGCAGTTTTACTATTTCACAGGTATATATAATCTCAAGGTAGATGTCCATGTGTTGTTTGATTATAAAGCAGGTCTAGGGTTCTATATTAATACTGTGAAAGTATCAAAGTGCTCAGTCCACAGAGAAATGCACACAGCCTGTATTCAGAAACTGAGCCTTACAACCAGTAAAACCTGTAACTTTGTGATGTCTCAACAAAAAAGTCACCAAGCACCATCCACCTGGACCTACCATCCAACCTTGCAGGATTTGATTTCTCTGAGTCTTAACTTGAATCTACTATATTTGTATTCAGTCACTCAGAAAACAGTCAGCCAATCAGAAGAGAGACTCAGAGCCTCCTCTCCTCTGATTGGCTCACCGACCTGTTGTTACTAGAGCTCCAGAGAGAAGCCTGAGAAAGGAGATGTAAAACTACATAGAGATGGTTTTTGGTTCTTAAAACTACAAATATAAATTAAAACCACAAATATATCTTCTTATGGATCAACACTTCAAACAAAACACTGGAGAAGAGGAAAATATGGCACTTTTTAATCCTTTGAAAGTGATACTGCACTCATCATAGTCTTGAGTGTCAAATACTTTTCCTGTGAGCTGTGTTTGTATTTTAGATGTGAAAATATCAACATACAGAATCCCACACAGCAGCTGCTGCATCATGTAAAACTAACTCAAAAATAACTAACTAACTCAAACAACTGTTGGTCTCATCCCATTGGTTGTAAAGAGAGAAAGTTCAGTAGAGATAGATAGATAGATAGATAGATAGATAGATAGATAGATAGATAGATAGATAGATAGATAGATAGATAGATAGATAGATAGATACTTTATTTATCACCTAGGGGAAATTCATGAATGCAGGGTTTGGTGATAATTGTCATTTCAACATGTATTTTTATTACAGTAATCAAGAATCAGTATCACTGTTGAGTAGGGCTGAACAATTAATCTAAATATTATGAAAATCTCAATACAGCCAAGTGCAATATATTATACTTTATGATAAATGTAAAATGTGTCACAACAAACCATAAATGAAGCCTCGTGGCGCTACAGAGATGCCTACAAATCATATTCTCCAGATGTACAGGAACATGTTTGATACAAGACCCAGCATTTCATAGATAGATACTTTATTCATCCTGAAAGAAATTCAGGCAGTCGGCTGCACACCACACGCATACAGAAAGTAACCATATAAAAAGACCCAAAGCTAAGCAGGTGAAACAGGCAACAACAACAATCATAAATAAAATAAGAAATAAAATAAAATAATAAAAAGCTACAACTATGATGTCATATCTGACCAGGAGGATCTACACTGTGACTCGAGGAGTAGTGGTTTAGGAGCCATTAATGATGGAAAACTTGAGCCCAGAGTTTCATGTTTTTTCCATAACTGATACGCTGTCGCTATTGTCTGCTGTGCTGCCATGAGCATGGAAAGACCTTCCACTGCATGATTGTTTAGACATGGCTGAAATAACACTGTGGCTTCTTTGTTTACTTGTTCCTGGCAAACATCATAATCTGCGTGCCTGCCGCTGCATCTCTGCCCTCTCCTCTGGCTGTAGCCATGGAAACCCAGTGAGAGGCACACAAGGCCTTCATGGAAAATATGCGATTGGAGTGCATCTAAAAGTAGCAATCCCAGAAGGCTGTGGGGTATAGATTGATGACGAGAGCAGGACGGTGTGAACGTTTAGGAAATCTGTTTCATCTGGTCAGAGAACTTTTGAGCACCGCCATCTTTGAGTTTTAAGGTGCTTGTTTATATTCAGTGCTGTGGTTGCCGTTGACAACCGTGAGCAGAGGCATTATGTTTTCAGGTAGTTCATCCACCTGTGCCATTCATTGTGAATGTGATGTCTCAGTTACACCTTGAGGGAATTTCTTCAGATCTGGTACAAACATTTATTAGGACTCATCGATGAACTGATTAGACTTTGGTGATCAAAGGTCAAAGGTCAAGGTCACAGTGACCTCACAAAACACATTTTTGGGATGCAAGTATAGGAATCATAATTATGACACAAATGTCTAACTCGATAAAATGAAGTGATGACATTTTATATCCAAAAGGTCAAAGGTCAACTTCACTGTGGAATCACAATGTTCTGTAAAAACCTGTTTTTATTAAAAATCCTTCAAAGTCTTCACTACAAATCAGTTGCGATGTCTCGAGCATAATAATTGATGCAAATTCAACCAATCACACCAGTCCTTGCGTAAAACCTTGATGAACGTTATAGATGGATAAATGAATGAAGTGATTCTAAAGATCAGCTCTACCTGTGATTAAGACATTATACAAAAAAAAAGTAACAATTTTTGCAATTTTTATTTTCTCCCGCAGTTTCATTGCAAAACAAAACAATCCCAAAAAAGCCTGTGAAATCCTGGAGAGACTGACATATGTTGTATGAGTCTTAACAGACATGGATGTAAAAAAATTTCTGGTTCACCACTGATTTGTCACTAATGGGATCAGTCTCATTAGGAGATAGAAACTATTACCTGGTCAACAATGTTGCTTTCAACATCTCTCAGAGTTTTCACCAACATTTATCTGAGCTCTTCTCTGGTCAAAGACATGAGACCAGATCCATCCTCATTCTACTGAACATTCAACAGCTGAAATCACTCAGTGTTTGTATTTGAGTAAACATGGTGAGATCCGTTGTATTCACAGATAAGATCTATACACACACACACACACAAATGTATCTTGACCTAATAAGAAAACTCTTCAATCCTCCAGATACCCTGTGCTATTTTAAGATGCTCAGAGAGAGGAAACAGGGTTACGTGTGTGTGTGTGTGTGTGTGTGTGTGTGTGTGTATGTGTGTGTGTATGTGCGTGTGTGTGTGAGATCCAGTGCCCCTCTGACTGTAGTAAAAGTATTGGTCCTCCAGAGCGTGGGAACTCTGTGACACTGTTCAGAGCTGGAGGCTGTGTTCATGTTAATGTGACCCTCTCTTATTGTTGTATTCTCTCTCATGTAACAGAGTCTGTCTGGGTACAGCTGTACATTTTTGGATTTAAGCTGCCAGTAACTTGTGTTGGTCATGTGGCTTCATATTAATTACTCAACTACTTCCAGTATAACCTTTGTGTTTGTACCAGCTCTGATGTGTCCTATATGAGACAGACCTGTTTAAGTGTCCTGGTTCCAGACAGTATAACGTGTGTCATTACCACTAAATTGATATTTAAATTTTTAGATATCATGGTTAATATTAACACTGGTGTATCATAACACCCCAAACTGCTGCAGTAATACATTTTATTTTCATGAAAAGTTCTGTATTCTAGAGCAGAACTTTCATCGTCTCCAAACTACCTGACCATCCGGCTGTCCATCCATCCATCTGTCCATCTGTCCATCCATCCATCCATTTTCTGACGCTTATCTGGGGTCGTGTTGCAGTGGCATCAGGTTAAGAAAAGTAGTCCAGACGTCCGTCTGCCCAGCAACGTTTTCCAGCTCTTCCCGCAGGATTCTGAGGTCTTCCCAGACCTGATGAGATACAATATATATAATCTCTCCAGCATGTTCTGGGTCTACCCCGAGGTAGACATTGCCTGGAAGACCTCCACTGGGAGGCGCCCTAACTGAAAAACAATTCACAACGTTGATAGATACCTGAGGGGTTTTTCATTTTTAATAAATAAATGTCCCTAACCCTCATTTAAATACATTTTGTTTAATTAATTAAACATTAATTAGACAACCTTTCTAAATCAATGCTTTTACATTAAGTCCAATAAAACTGACTTGAGGAAGGAAGGTCTGCTTCAGGTCTCTCTGTCAAAGGTCTCTTTGTCGCTTTAACAGGTCTCATAATGTTAATATCTTCTTAACTAGTCACTGTAATGATGAGAGAAAGCACAGATCTGATGTGTCAGTGCACCTCTCAGTCTCTCCCTCTGCTCTCTGCCTCTTTCTTACTCACCGACCTGTATAAACAGTTTATGAACAGCTCTGCTTCTCCAAAAGAAAGAATGCTAACCTTTCATGTGCAGCCATCTGTCCTTGTGTTCATTAAGCAGATTTTTATTATTGATCTATTTTTACATTATACATGGGAGTTGTTCACCACCATTACCGTAAGCTTCTCTCGGTTTGAATTCCTTCAGTGTCAGTGGTTCAGGAAATCAAACAGACCCGGTGATTCTAACCGTTAAAAACACTGAATAAAGCAGTTTCACATTTAATGTCAGTGTTTGAGCAACGCTGTACGGAGGACAGAGACTCAGGGAAGAGTTGGAGCTGAGATTCATGCTAACCTTTCTTTGGATTGTTTCTCTAATAATTTATGAACCAGATGTTCAGCAGGTTTTTACCAGCAGCTGAATTATCCACAGAGGTGTCCTCCTCTCCATAACAAACACACCAGGAGATTAAAACCAGTAGAAACACTGAAGAAAGCAGTTTGACTTTAAAGATCAGTGATTCGCGGCAGATCACTTGGTAGAGCTTGTACCACAAAGGCTTAGTCCACATGTCATTCCCTCTCTCTCTCCCTGACTTTCCTCTCCCTCTCTCACTGTAGTGATTTAAATAAAGACAGAAATGGACAAAAACAATCAGTGATTGACCGACAGAGTGACAGTTCACAGGATAAAAGCAGGTCTGACCATGAGGAGCTTTATAAACCAATAAAAGATGTTTAAACCAGGTCTGAAGCAGACAGGCAGAGACTTTAAAACTACTGCAATGTGTTCCCTCTTTATGGTCTCAGTCTCAGTCAATGAGACATGATCACAGGTCACTGAAGACCCATGGGAATACCAGGTCTGAAAAGTGCCTGAATTCTAAGTGTCTGAATACTTATGTCAATGTGATATTTCAGTTATTTTTTCATGCATTTGCAAAAAATTAAGTTTTTACTTTGTTATTATGGGAAATTGAATGGAGACTGATGAGGGGGAAAAAATTTTTTATGCCTCAACGCCAGCTACAGTCAGAGCCAGAGGCATATTATTTTCAGGTTGTACATCTGTCCGTCCCATTCTGGGAAACATGATATCTCAGTAACACCTTGATGGAAGTTCTTCAAATTTGGCACAAACATGTGCAGAATTTAGTTAAAACATCATATTTGTCCTTAAACTAAATACAATAAAACAGAATGAAATCAAGATTTTTTTTTCTTTTTCCTTCCTCAGTCGGTGATAAGGTACCAGCTGACATCAGGCTGACCTCCATCCGTTCCACCACTCTGAGAGTGGACCAGTCCATCCTGACGGGGGAGTCTGTGTCAGTGCTCAAACATACAGACCCTGTACCAGATCCCAGAGCTGTGAACCAGGACAAGAAGAACATGCTCTTCTCTGTGAGTCTCAACAATCACGGCTGTCACGTTACACTTTAAGGATATTTTTGTTATTGAACTTGTTGAGTGAAACACCCTGTGGTTTATTAGGAAATTATTTTTCCTTTTTAAAAATGAAATAGTATTTTTGTGAGATGTTTTGTCTACACTTCACACTAATGTTTGAAGCTGTAACTATCAAACATTTCACTTGAAAGCTTCTTTTCTGCTACAGTAGTTACTGATCCTTAAATTTGATTTCTGTATTTCCCACGATATGAAGGTTTTAGTTGAATTAAGTTGGTTACTTTGAAAAACATACGAGTAAAACAGTGGTAACAGCTGATATTTCTCCACATGTTGAGCAATGAAGGTCACTGATATCTGAGAACAAATCTTGATCTCCACATCTGTATCTAAATAATTATCTCCTCTTCTAATAAATGTCTCCACACCTCGGTAGAATATTAATTGCTTATCCACTGAGGAAGTCACTGAGTCTGAGTGAGCTCTGTAGCTCTTAACAGAAAAGCCTTCGAGCATTTATCTGCTCAGGGTTACAGGGTAAACGTTCTCCTAAGAGCAATGTCTATTTTCTTTTAGAATATGTATATTTTGAATGTCAATATATACACAGAAAGTATAGTTTAGAGGGTAACTAAATTCTAACAAGCTACATCCTTGTTATTATAAAGCTAAATGTAAAAATGCTTTAACTGCTACATAAATGTTAAATAACATCTTGCTTTTTAGAACAGTTTGATTATTTTCAAATTGATGGGACAAAGAAAAAAAATTTAATTATCAATGAAATTGATACACAACACAAAAATCCTGTTACATACATTGAAGTGATGTAAGATTGGCACAGATGCTTATTTATTATCTCATTGTGTTAGATGTTGTTGTACATGTTTTCTCATAAATCTAAAATTAGCAAGACGACACTGTTCAAAATCATTGATGCCAGTGGGGGAGGGGCTTCTTACCCCAAATCAGCATGGGCGTCTTCCCTCAAAAATCCAACTTTCATTTATTCCGAAAAAAGTATTTTTTATTCAATTTTTTATTAAACAAAAAAAATTGTTCAATAAAAATTTAAAATATAATTTAATTTTTTTAGTTTGTTCATATCAACAGTAAAAAAAGTTTTTTATAGTATGTGCTTATAAAACACTGTTGAAATATGACATCAGCTCACCCAGAACCATTTGTTTAGATTTTCTCCCACTAGTAAAATAATTTTGATTCTATTCAAAGATTAGTGAGACCCCAGTTTACCTGACATGCTTTTTTCTCCTCAGAGCTACTCTACAATTACAGCTCCATCCCAACATCCACCCATACACTTATATGCACATCTGACATTTAGTATGTGTGTTGTATTAAATCTGTCAGACCTCAAAGGCTGTGGAGTCAGCAGGTGGTCTGTGGTCAAAGAATAACAGCCCTTGATGTTTTATTAAGAGCCGTCACTGACTGCGAGAGCTGCAGATCGTCTTTGTTGGTGTGGTTATCAGAGCGCTGTTGGACCTAGCATGACTTCACATCACAGCCCGGTGTTAAAGAGAGAGATATTAGAGTTCACTTTAAATAACAGCATCACAGAAGACGCAGTGAAGTTATTTCTGTCACGGCCTTTCCCCAGGGCACCAACATTGCAGCAGGGCGAGCCATCGGGGTTGCCGTGGCGACAGGGGTACAGACAGAGATCGGGAAAATCAGAGATGAGATGGCCTCCACCGACCCTGAAAGGACTCCGCTGCAACAGAAACTCGACCAGTTCGGAGAGCAGCTGTCTAAGGCAAGTCCCTGTGTGAGGTTTACTGATGAGTGTGAGAGTATTTCCATAATCTGTAGAATCAATATAGAATCAATGTTGTGCGGCTGTTACCCTGCAGGTCATCAGTGTGATCTGCGTAGCGGTGTGGGCCATCAATGTGGGACACTTTAATGACCCGGTGCATGGAGGCAGCTGGCTGAGAGGAGCTGTTTACTATTTCAAGATCGCTGTCGCCCTGGCTGTGGCCGCCATACCAGAAGGTCAAACTTCTCTCTTTTATTCTTTTATTTGCAACTTTTTTTTTTTTAGGATAATTCAGAACATTTCAGCAATTACAGAGAGAAATAGCCTTGCAGTTAGAAAGTATTGTAAGTCTGCAGTAAATGAACAGCATCGCCAACAACCCCTCCCTTCTCAACATCTTTTTTATGTCTCAGGTTGTCTGTCCATCTCATTTTTGTGGACACAATATCTCAGTAACGCCTTGAAGGAACTTCTTCAATTTTGGCACAAACGTTCATTAGGACTCCAGGATGAACTGATTAGATTTTGGTGGTCAAAGGTCAGAGGTCAAGGTCATGGTGACCTCACAAAACACGATTTTGGCCCTGTGAACACAATATCTCTGTAATGTCTTGAAGGAATTCCTTCAGATTTGGTACAGACATTCACTTGGACTCAAAGACGAACTGATTAGACTGATTAGAAAGGTCAAAGGTCAGTGTGACCACACAAAACACATTTTAGCGATAACTCAAGACTTCACAACAATTATGGCAAAATTTCACACAAATGGTTCATATTTTTGTAAGATTCTGGATAAACAGGATGTAACCTGAAACTAGTGGAGGAGGCAGACAACCACAAGGAGGTGATTCTAGTTTTTTTATAGACAATACTTATCCAGTAGAATTTTCCATAACTATTTTAGGATCTGAAAAAGGGATGTATATTAACCATAAATATATATAATATACTATTATATTTATATATATATATATTTATTTATTTGTAGGTGGAATGAAAATGGGATTTTTTTATTGTGTGTACTTCATTATCTATATCTGTCCATTCCTATGTTGTGGGGGGATCAGGAAGCAAACAGTTCCTAGTAATGTTTTTTTTCACTGGCTGATATCAGAAAGTGAACTTTTCCTAAAATGAAGGTGTTCAACTGGAAAGGTATTTTTGTATTGAATATGCCTTCCAATGTATTGTGCATCTCTGTCCAGAAATGTCTTATTACTGAACATTCCCAAAATATATGCCAATGATTGGCATCCTGTCTCCCATACAGTGTCCAACTCTCTACTGTAAAGTGTGCTTTCTGCTTTGGGGTAATAGAAAATCTAATGAGACTAGGTCAAACATCTTATCTAGAGAAAAATTATCTGACAGAAAACTGTAGAGAAACAATTGACCGATCTCCTCCACCCACTCTGAAAATTATGCCCATAAAACCAGCTGCTGCAGTGGACTCGACAGTTTGTGGCAGTTTCATCACCATCAACTGCCTATCGTGTTTCCTCTCAGGCCTCCCAGCAGTCATCACCACCTGCCTGGCCCTGGGCACCAGGAGGATGGCCAGGAAGAACGCCATTGTCCGCAGCCTGCCGTCAGTGGAGACACTGGGTTGTACCTCTGTCATCTGCTCTGACAAAACAGGAACACTGACCACCAACCAGATGTCAGTCTGCAGGGTGAGATGAAGGGGGAGCATAACATTAGACTGATAAACATGGAGCTGACATTCACCAGTCAGCCTCATCCAGCTCTGACATGACTGATTACATACATACATACATACATACATACACGAGGGACACATTTCAGTGACTTGAAAATCTATTTAAAGCTCCATATAGTCTAAAGGTAGATGTCCATGTGTTGTTTGATTATAGATCAGGTCAAGGTTCTATATGAATACTGTGAAAGTATCAAAGCCTCAGCCCACAGAGAAATGCACACAGCCAGTATTCAGAAACTGAGCCTTAAAACCAGCCGTCAGGACTTCTGGAACTTTGTGATGTCACAACAAAGCAGTCACCCAGCCCCGCCCACCTGGACCCACCATCCAACCTTGCAGGATATGGTTTCTCTGAGTGTTTTCCTGAAATCTGCTTTATTTTTATTGGATCACTCAGAAAGAAACAGTAATCAGTAGAGGGGCTTAGAACCCCCCTCTCTTCACAGGCATACAGTATACATTTTCACACTAAAAAAAGCATGCGTGAGAGTGACTGTAGATACATAAGTACAACCTTTTAAAATGTTCCATGTTAAATAAGACAGAGAGGTCTAGAGATTCTTAATATTAAAAATCTGCAAATAACAGGAAGTCTGGAGTACTTCTAATGTGAAAAATCTACTGGAGGTGAATTAAGTTGAATTCATTGGTGAATGAAAACAACATGTATATTAGTAAGAGAGGGAGTGAGTGTTGAGTATGACCAGTGCTGTGGAAATACACAATACTGCATCTATGAGGATGACAAGTGAAGGTGGTGGAAGTGTTGAGTTGTATCAAAGGGAATCAGATGAAAGGAGGAATAAAAGCCTGTCTGCTATATAAACAACGCCTAAATATGTCTAAACTAAATCAATCTTAATTTTTTTTTCAATTCTGTTTTTATTGTGATTTTCGTGGTTTACATGTTCATTCACATATCAATTCACTAGTCTCATCCATTCATCTGTAAATTACAACTGAATTGCACATTAATACATCCACGATTCCACTGACCATACAGATAGGGATGATTGGACCTCCCTCATCACACAAAAGATGAAATTATTAAAATACAAAAATTGAGAACTTAACTCCTTAGGCTTAGAACAAGAATGCTGGGGTGCACATCTGTTATACTAGAAAAAAAAAAAAATCAAAATACTGATGCATAAGGGTTGAATAGGAAAAGCATAGATGAAAAAAGAAAATGGATATAAGACCTGGTACTAGACAAACGATGGACGGATCGGAGTGACATATCTAATCCATCTATCCCATCTTTTCAAAAACAGACCCTGTTTTAGTCTTAAAGCAAAAGTAATTCTTTCCATCTTAAAAATGTTATAAATGATGTCAAACCACTCGTCTACTGTAGGTTTTTCTAATTTTAGCCACTTCCTTGTTATAGCTTTTCTAGAAGCGGCACTTAGAATCTGAAATAAGTATTTGTCACCAGAGGAGACATTTTCTGATGGTAAAACTCCTAAATATAATGATACAAACTCAAAAGTAATGTCTGTCTGAAATATTTTTTGCAAAATGTTGTAGACCTCCTGCCAGAAAGTCATCAATATTGAACAAGACCAAAATATGTGAAAATGATTTGCCTCTAGGCATCCGCATTGTCTCCAACACAGAGATAAATTGGAATAGTGTCTTTTTTGAGCTGGAGTGACAAAAAATCTAATAAGGGTTTTCCAACAAAACTCTCTCCATAGTGTTGAATTTGAAGTTTTCCATTGTATCTCACATAAATATTCCCAATCTTCTTCGCTTAAAACTAGATTTCCTTCCCTCTCCCATTTCTGTTTTACATGCAATGAGCTACCCTTCATTTGTTGTAAACCCCTATAGAGTCTTGAGATGGTTTTTTGGCCTGAGCCTGAAACATATGCATCCATAAATACTTTTAGTAGATTGTTATCCCATTGCTCTTGTTTAATCTCTTTTCTTATTTGTTCAACCTGGTGACGAACCTGTAAGAATCTAAAGAAGTCATCATTGTTTAGACCAAATTGTCTCTTTAGGTTTTGAAAACTATTCATTGACCCCTTACACAAAAAGGTACAATATGCTGTTAGTCCATTAGTTTTCCAGGCCTTGAATCTTGCATCCAAATTTTTAGGCATGAAATCTGGATCAAATGCACACCATCTCAGTACTTTTATCGCCTCTTTCAATTTCTTTTTAGTTATTACCTTATTCCACATATTAAGTGGTAAACCAATCCAGGGGTTTCCCAGATCAGTCAATGTAATCATCAAACCCTTATCCCCTATTGCAGCTTGAATTGGGAACTCTGCTGTTATGGCCTCCTCTATCTCCTTCCATCTAGCCCTATATTCTGGATTGCACCAACATACTAACGGTCTCAACTGAGCTGCAATGTAATAATCTTTTAAACATGGGAGCGCAACCCCCCCCCTTATTTTTTGCTAACTGTAAATTCTGATATTTGAGTCTTGGTCGACGCCCCTACCAAATGTACCTAGAGATGAGTTTATCCCACTCCTGGAACTGTTGATCAGGTATATCTAGTGGAAGGGATTGAAAGAGATACAATAACCTCGGCAGAATAACCATTTGAACAGACTCGATACGAGAACCAAAATTAAGAAATGGCATTAAATCCCATCTCCTAATGTCTCCTCTAATTTTGTTGTTCAGGGGGAGAACATTCAGTGAGAGCAGCTTTGACAAATCTGCTGGTATATTCACCCCCAGATACCTCATGGATTCAGCTTCCCAACTCAAATTATATCTTTTCTTCACATTTTCTGAGGGACTGTAATTGAAACTGAGAATTTGTGTTTTTGAAACATTTAACTTATATCCAGGGAAAGATCCATATTGATCCAAAAGTGAAAACAAATGTACTATAGATTGTTCTGGACTGGATAACTGTATCAGTATGTCATCCGCAAACAAGGAAATCTTTTGTTCTCCTCCCTTCATATGTATTCCTTTAATGTTCTCATTTTGTATAATCCACTGACTCAGGGGTTCAATAAAAATCGCAAATAAAAGGGGGCTAATTGGACAACCCTGCCTTGTTCCACGTTCCAGTGAAAAGGGGTTCGAAACTACACCATTAATTTGAAGTCTGGCCCTCGGGTTATCATAAAGAGCTTCTATTGTCTTAATAAAGGAGTTGTGAAACCCAAACTCATCTAGGACTCTAAACAGAAAAGACCAATTTACACAATCAAACACCTTTTCTGCGTCTAGTCCTACTAATACCGCTTCTAAATCCTGTTCTATTATATGACTTATTACATGTAGAGTCCGTCTGATATTATCTTGGGTTTGTCTCTGACGAATAAAACCCGTCTGGTCAAGGCTAATGATTTGTGGTAACAGTCCTTCTATCCGTTTGGCCAGTATATATGTAAAGATCTTATAGTCCTGATTCAACACGCTAACCGGTCTATAGTTTCCGCATTCAGATCTATCCTTCCCCTCTTTTGGAATAAGTGAAATTACTGCTTCCCTCCAGGAGGGGGGTATTATATTCCTTTTAAGGACCCAATTAAAGATGGACTGCAACATAGGGATCAATGAATCCCCCATCATCCTATACCACTCTGAAGGAAACCCATCAGGGCCAGGGGCTTTCCCTGATTTGAGATGGGCTATGGCTGCTCTTATTTCTTTCTCTGTAATTTCTATTGCAAGTTGGTTACTCTGCTCACCCGTCAATTTAGGAAGATTAATTTTCTCAAAAAATTCTTCCATTTTCCCTCTGTCAACATGGGGTTGAGAGTATAGTCTTTGAAAATATGTTTCAAAGCTATTCTGTATCTCTTCCAATTTATAGTTTATTAAATTAGTCATCGGATTTTTAATTTTATGGATTGAATTCTCTGTCTGTTGCTTTTTCAGCCTATAAGCCAACAATTTACTGGCTTTCCCACCTCCTTCATAATACTTCTGTTAACTTTTTTTGTATATCTCTTGTATAAATCTCATCTATCTCATTCTTTTTCTTCCTAAGTGCTTCTTTAATTTTCTTGTCATTTGCGTCTTTATGTTTTTGTTCTAATTGTTTCAATTCTGTTTGGAGCTGGTTTAGTTCTTTTAGCCTAGCTCTTTAAGTGGGAACTGTATCCAATTATCTTACCCCTCAGCACTGCTTTACATGCATCCCACAATATCGGAGGTGTGACCTCACCATTGTCATTCTGTTCCAAAAAGTCGGTAATATCCTTCTTAATTTGGTCCTTCATATGATTCAATATATGTATGTTTAATCTCCATAAGGTGTTTCTCTGGGATTGTTCGAGATTTAGTTTTAAATACAGAGGGCTATGGTCCGAAAGGTCCATAATCCCCATGCTGCAGTCACGAACCCTGTGTAAATCTTTACCAAAAATTAAAAAGTAGTCAATCCTTGAATACAACAAGTGTGGATTAGAAAAATATGTATAGTCTCTCTTTAGGGGATTTAATTCTCTCCACACATCAACTAAACCAATATCCTTTATTGCCGAATTGACCCTTTTGTTCAGATGACTGGGCTGGGCTACCTGTATTTTTGATGAATCAAGTTTAGGGCATAATCTAATATTGAGATCCCCCCCACAAATTAATACGCCTTGAGATTCTGCTATAATCACTTCAAATATTTGACTAAAAAAACTCCAATCTGAATTAGGGGGAGCATATATATTCAGCAAAGTTATCAATGAGCCATTTAAGTTCCCTCTCAAAAACACATATCTTCCTTCAGTGTCCTTCTTTTCAAATAGGGACTCAAAACAAATTTTACTGTAAATTAATATTGCCACCCCTCTCCTATGACCATTTGCATATGATGATGAGAACTGATACTTAAAACCCATTCTTTTTAGTTTAGCATGCTCTGTGTCTGAAAGATGGGTTTCTTGCAAAAACGCCACCTCAACTTGTCTCTTTTTAGTTTTGTTAAAATCTTACTTCTTTTGATAGGGTTGACTAGACCATTCACATTATAAGTTGCTATTTTAATTGCTTGCATTTAGTGTACTATATTGAAAAGAAATAAAAAAAAAGGAAAACCCTCTCGCACCAACACAAATATTTACCATTAACTGAATGTATCACAGACAGCACCCCAAAAGCTGCATGGAACGGCAGCAAAACATGCCTCTTAATGAGGAACAACACAAACACAGTAACACATGAAAAAAAGGCTTCCAATAGTGAGGTCTTCATCTCGACCCTTATTAGGCCCTGATGGTGAGAGGGCCTTAAGGGAAATCCTCCCTCACCGACCGGTGTGAGAGGGCCCTCAGCCATTTGCAGTTTTATTCTAGTGTCCATCCGGCTGTCTGACAGAGGAAAACAAAACTCCCGACGTTGCAGTATGTTCTTAGTTATTGCCTGTAAAATGTTCCTGTAATATACAGTACCTGTTCGCAGTCTGTTCTTACTGATAGCTGGACTCTCCTCTTTAGAATAACAACTCCTCCCTTCTTATCCGGGACTTTCAACGACCCGTGAATCACAGATGTTTTATAGTCATGCTGGATCCTGGCGCCTAAAAACCTGTAGTTTTTCCACGTAACTCCTCTCTTTACTTGCTCTCTCCCGGTTCCCCGATCTCCTGCTCGTTCGCCATGTGAACTTCTGAATCTGCTCCAGCAGAGATTCTGGGTGTTTAATAACCGAGACCAAGAACCCCCTCTTCGCCATGTCCCCGGTCGCCTCCTCCGCTGATCCGTACAACACTGTCCCCTCCGGGTAGAACACTCTTAACCGGGCCGGGAACGGAGTTTGAAATCTGATTTTCTTCTCCTTCAGTACTGATTTCGCTTCGGCATATTCCTTTCGCTTTTTCAACACATCAGGCGCGTAGTCATGATCCAGATTAACACTTTTTCCGTGAAGTTGAAATCCCCGCTTTTGCCAGGCCAGCTTCAGTAACTCCTCTTTCATCCTGTAGCTTGACAATTTAGCCACAATGGACCTTGGTGGAGCTCCCTGTGGCGGCTTCGGTGTTAGGGCGCGGTGAGCTCTCTCCACTCGCAGCTCAAAGGAGCCCTGGAGCCCCAAGCCCTCCCGCGGGAAACGCTCGACATATCCCACCATCGATGGAGAGTCCTCCTCCGCTCCTTCTTTCACTCCGTGGATCCTGACGTTCTCTCTTCTGGACCTAACCTCTAAATCCGTCAGCTTTGTATCCAGGTGTATCTGCAGTTTCACCAGCTCCGTAACCGCTTCTTCCGTCCCTTGTATCCGAGTTTCGGCCGTGTCGATCCTCTTTTCCGCCTCCTCTATTCTAGTGTTAGTTTTGTTTATTTCTTCACGGATCTCTTTCAGCTGCTGACTGCTGTCCTTTCTAAACTCCCTTAGTTCTTTCAGTAAAAGGCCCAGACCTGCTTCTTCTGCCTGCTCCTTGCCGTGGTCCGAGTCCGTATCCTCCATTTCGTTGCTAGCCTGGAGCTCCTGGCTAACTTCGTCTCTCTCAATTAACTCCGACTGCATGAACTTTTTCGACTGATATTTAGGCAACTGTACTAACGTTTTTTTGAAAAACTTATTTGGGTTGTTGTGGGCAATTTTTACTTCGAAATGTCGGGAGCAACTTTCCTATGCTGCCATCGCCTAGTTCGTCAAACCGGAAGTCCAAATCAATCTTATTTCATATGAAAATGTAATAATACTCTTGATGATGATTTTTATCTTTATCTCAGCCATTGAAAGATTGAGTCCTTTATTTTGAAACAGTAGCAAGAATCCTTCCTGTTTTCTGATCTGTTCGAGGTTTATTGCAGCACTGACTCCATCAGTACAACAACATGATGTCATGTCATACTCACCACACTGCGGCACCATAGCTTCTGTTAGCTACGTACATTTTACTCTTGAATCACCTCAGACTCAGTGTTGGTATTGATTCAAAGAGCTGACATTGGAATGTGAAAATAACCTCATGTGATCTTCTAACTTTATTGAACTAATGTCTATCTGTATGTGTGTGTGTGTGTGTGCGTGTGTGTGTGTGTGTGTCTAGATTTTTGTTGTGGACAGTGTGTCAGGGGAGCGCTGTAGCCTGAGCGAGTTCACAGTTACTGGATCTACTTACGCCCCTGAAGGGGAAGTGTGAGTGTCTTTAACTTTTAACCATTAACCCTTTAACCCCTGGATGTTTATGGATTATGAAAGGCAACACTTATAACCCTCCAGTTAATCTCTCCATCCTTTTTTGTATCGACCTGTATGCATTCCACTTCTCCATGTCTGTTCCTCTGTCTTGATGTCCTCCACCTGTCTCTCTGTCCTCTTCTGTCTCCAGCTACAAGGACGGCTCAGTGGTGAAGTGCAGTCAGTACGAAGGCCTGGTGGAAATGGCCTCCATCTGTGCGCTGTGCAATGACTCATCGCTGGACTACAACGAGGTACAAAATGAACAGACAACAGCTCAGACCATCACTGATGACCATATATGGTTCTGGAACATTTACAACTGCACATAAATGTGTGTTGTCAGAAATGCAGCCCTAAACTGCTGGTGAGTAAACAGCATACTTTGTGTGTGTGTGTGTGTGTGTGTGTGTGTGTGTGTGTGTGTGTGTGTGTGTGTGCGTGCGTGCGTGCGTGCGTGTGTGTGTGTGTTCCAGGCAAAGGGAGTGTATGAGAAGGTCGGGGAGGCGACAGAGACTGCCCTCTGCTGTCTGGTGGAGAAAATGAACGTGTTCGACACTGACCTGAGAGGACTAACCCCCGTTGAGAGAGCGACAGCATGCTGCTCTGTACGTATGTGTGTGTGGGTGTGTGTGTGTGTGTGTGTCCTCTTCGGGGCCTTTCCAATAAAAACAGCAACCTTGTCGGGGCCAGTTGTCCTCATGGGGATCGAACCAAAGCCCGGTCCTAATGAGGCAAGATGTCACACCTGAGGTCCTGGTTGAGGTCAGGGTCAGTACAATGTCCTAATAAGTATGGCTGTGCAAACTGTGTGCATGTGTGAGAGAGAGATAGAGAGAGAGAGAGGCCTCTCAGGAGCATTGACCACCAACCAGATGTCAGTCTGCAGGGTGAGATGAAGGGGGAGCATAACATTAGACTGATAAACATGGAGCTGACATTCACCAGTCAGCCTCATCCAGCTCTGACATGACTGATTACATACATACATACATACATACATACACGAGGGACACATTTCAGTGACTTGAAAATCTATTTAAAGCTCCATATAGTCCAAAGGAAGATGTCCATGTGTTGTTTGATTATAAAGCAGGTCTAGGTTCTATATGAATACTGTGAAAGTATCAAAGCCTCAGTCCACAGAGAAATGCACACAGCCTGTATTCAGAAACTGAGCCTTAAAACCAGCTGTCTGTTACTAGAGCTCCAGAGAGAGAACTGAGAGATGAGATGTAAAACTACACTGAGATGGTTTAAATTAGGGCTGGGACGATTATCCGACGTAATCGATGTTGTCGATTATAAAAATTATTCGACGTGGAATTTTAGTGTCGACGCATCGTGTAAAACCACACAGGGTAAATGTTCATAGAACAAAACCGGAACTTTCTAATGGGACTGCTTATATCCATCATCTTTGGTTTACCCGGATACAAGCGCAGCGCAAGGGCTGGGACAACGCGGTGACGTAATTGAAGTCATTGACTACGTGAATGATTTGCATCTGTGAAAAAAAAAAAAAAAAAGATTTGCGTCTGTGTAATCTATTTGAACAACATGGCGGTGTCTACCAGCAGTACGACGGAGCGTGTGGAGCAACACGCGGCAAAAAAGGCTTGCACACTACTTCGCAAATTACTGTTAGGTTAATAAAAAATTAATCGTTAGATTAGTCGAATAATCGAAAAAATAATTGCTAGATTAATCGTTTAAAGAATAATCGTTTGGGACAGCCCTAGTTTAAATATATCTTCTTATGGATCAACATGAAAATATGGAGCTTTAAATAAAGTGCTGATGCTGACCTCTGCATCTGTTATCGAGGACCATGCTTCCTCATCTGTCTTATGTCTCTTTACCTGTGAAAAGAAGCCTGAACTAAGTGTGTCACATGCTGCAGGCCTGGTTTTCTATTAGCTTGTTCTATGTGTTTGTCAAAGATGATTTTATGTTCTATAGCTGTCTTTTCATTGGTTGTATTTAGGTGATTAAGCAGCTAATGAGGAAAGAGCTGACGCTGGAGTTCTCCAGAGACAGGAAGTCCATGTCTGTCTTCTGTTCATCCAACAAACTCACCAGGTCTTCCTCTGGAGCCAAGATGTTTGTCAAGGTCAGTTCCACACAGCTCGTCATGATCCCTTTAGTTACCCATTATGACGTCTGGACGTGTCTGACCTTTTCCCCGTCTCTCCTCAGGGTGCTCCGGAGAGCGTGCTAGAGCGCTGCGCTTACATCCGGGTCAGCGGCGCTGCTCGCGTGCCTTTAAGCCCGGCGCTTCGAGAGCAGCTCCTGTCCACTGTGCGGGATTGGGGGTCAGGCCGAGACACATTGCGTTGCCTTGCCATGGCAACCAGGGACACACCCCCTGACATTCATTGTCTCAACCTGGAGAACTCAGCTGGGTTTGCTGACTATGAGGTGATGATAATGAAGGCTCATGGTCCAACACTCTTTCTGAAAGTCTAATGCTGAACTAGTCCTCTGTCTTCCTGTCCCCAGTCGGACCTGACCTTTGTGGGCTGTGTGGGCATGTTGGACCCGCCCAGGAAAGAGGTGCTTGGCGCAGTCCGAATGTGTCGGCAGGCTGGTATACGAGTCATCATGATCACAGGTACAGCTGAAACACAGTATGTACGCACACAACTGAATGTGGGCAAAAAACTTCACACCTTTGTTTCACATGTGCCAACCCACACAGATCTCAGGGGATCATTCTGGGGAGTGGGATGTCTTTGTTGAGGAAACAATCTCTGAGTGTGTGTAGTACAAACACTGGTGTGTTAACCAGGAAGTATTCCGAACTTTTCTTTTGTGTTTGGCCTAATTTTGGTAATTTTGTCATTCTAAGCAGTTTGTTAAAGGGACACTCCACCAAGTTATTCATAAAGATCTGTTTCTTCTCATGGTTCATGCAGCTCAGCCTGTTTAAACAGCTGTGTCATATCCAAAATGGCTCTGAAGTATGTTAAGTCATGTTACATTGGTGTCTGAGGTGTGTATGCTCAATGTTATAAATTGATAAATTAATGAGTTGATTCTAAAGATCAGCTCTACCTGTGATTAAGACAGAGGAGCAGAATCACTTGTTCTTTTTCCCTAAAAGATTTGTGAAGACTAGCTCACCACCTGCACTGACCTGGAGTTATTCTCAAAGGTTCAAATAGCCTTCCACTTTTAATGAATTATACAAAAGAAAGATAGAGACAATTTTTGAAATTTCTATTTTCTCGCATTTTCATTGTAAAAAAACCCAAAACAAAACAAAACATCCACAAACATTGCAACTTTCATCGCAGTTTTTAAGAAAAGCTGTGGCCAAATCAGATATTTTAGCTGCAACAATCCCAAAAAAAGCCTGTGAAATCCTGGAGAGACTGGAAAATCATTTATTTATTTACACTTTATAATAAAGCTTCCCGGTGACCTCAGCTGACCTGC